CTACACGAGCCCCCCGCGTCCTCGCGCCAAAACCAAAACCCTAGCCCACCCCCACCAATGGCGGAGACCGATGCTAGCGCCAGGACAAGCGAGCCCGCGCAAGCGAAAGCGCCGGTCACGGCTACGGAAACGGCGGCTGGGACCGTGCCGACGCCGATGGCGGAGGAGGGGGCGGTGCCTCCACCCGGTCTCGATTATAAGAGGAAGCTTGGTGAGACAGAAGGGGAGGAGGCGATGCTGCCGATGGACGCGGAGCAGGGTGGCGGCGGCGCCGAGGATCGGGCTGGGGTGGGATGAGAAGGGGGGGAGGAGACGGCGGAGACAGGGTCCAGGCGGCCGCGCGGCGACGGCGAGGGCAACGGGTCAGGTATATTATTCGCCGTTCTCTTTTTTACATCGTCTCGGTTTGATGCGCGTTGTATTTGTGTAATATGTCTAGGCGTGCTAGATTTTGCGCAATCTCTAGGCTGATTCGCGATTTTTTCGGAGCAATGCCAATGAGGGTTGAGTTGGTATGGGTAAGGATTGCATATGGTGCTCTTGCTCAATTTTAAAACCAATCAAAGGGGTTAAAAATGTTTTTTTCATTGAGTTGTTTGTGTAATTCCCATAGTTGTTGACTTATAGCGAATATGAGTTGCAATTGTCGTATTACATTACATTGTTATCATGAATAAGATTGTTTATTTTTTCTTATCTGCACTAGGTATTACTCAAATTGAAGTGCATGAACCTGAAACATCAGAATCGGTGAATGGGGATGCTCCTTTCAATGAAAGCATGCTGTGTAGCTCTGAGGTAAACATTCCAAAAGAATGTTCAGAACATCGTCAAGAGGACAATGTACCCTCACCAGAACAGCAGAGTGCTGTAGGGCTTACCCAAGAAGTAACGCGAAAAATTGAAATTACTCAAAGCAAGGTACTGTCTACTTATCCTTGTTATTATGTCCAGTGCTTATTTCTGCGTGAATATACATATTCCAGTTGCTGCATTGCCCCCAAAATATCTGATCATTTAGTGTGAATTATCCAATAGGCAAGAATTAGGTCGTAAGCAAGCAAGAGACACATTTTACTTGGAAGTTAATTTGCGATGATATTTCTATGCACGTATTCCCCGAAATCTTTAAATTGGAATTCACTTTCAGACCATTTCTCCATTTTGTTACGCTAAGCTGTTAGCTGAATGTGGAAGACGAGTATTGTAGGCAGGTGTTTTGATTGGTAAATCTGGGGAAACTATCAGGTGCCTGGGGATCGCCTCAGATTAAAATCCAGATTGTGGAATATGATGAAGCTGACCCAAATTAAATCATATCCTTTCGCAGGTTGATGTAGGTGATTCATGTACACCCGCTGCTAGAAGTTTTGGGACTCCGCGATCTGGTGCTGAGCAAGCGGACATCCATGTCCCAAATGAGAAGGTGAGGCTTTAAAAAAAATCTCGGCCATAAAATTTACTCAAGCGCTCTGATATATTTCCTTTTATCATAATATGTAGGCTGGGTTGGTCATTGGGGAGGGAGGTGAGACCATTAAGGCTCTAAAAACTAAGTCTGGGTCCGACATTCAGGTTAGTGCATGCATATTTTTTATTCACTTCAAAATGAAAACTAATATCCTTTTTTGTAGTTAATCCCGCAACATCTCCCAGAAGGTGATCTTTCCACAGAAAGAAAAATACGACTTACTGGGAATTGGAATCAAATAGAGATTGCAAGAACAATGGTCCTAGAACTCATCAGTCAGGTGCTTCTGGCACTTATCTATATCTGTATTTATAATCTGTTGCATTGCTCTCCATGCTATTTGAAGGTTTTAAGGGGAACTATATATTTGTTTTTTAGTATTATACATGTCGTGTCTGCGTGAAGTTAAAACCATGTTTGCTACATGCGCTTTATGTTTTCAAATGTTGCTTGCACCTTTTATGTTACCATGATTGAGCAAATATTTGAGTTTTACTAGACTGCTGGCATTAGCTATCCATCTTGATTGTAAGGCATAATAAGTTTAACTAGACTGCTGGCATTAGCTTGTAACTTATCATCTATGTTGATCGTATGATATCTCCATGACAGTTTTGCATCTGACTGTTGTAACCTTCATTGATATCCCTGGTAGCTATGAACCATATGATAGGTATTATTTCTTTTTTCCATCCATCGGTGCAGAAAGTTGTATGCTCTTCAACTATGTGATCACAATGTCAAGGCCTTAACGTTTTTGGTTGTTCATGACCCCTGGGATCTTAGAAAGATAAATTCAACAACTAAATTGCTTTATTTTAAGAGTTCTTTTGGCTAGATGATGGTTCACAGTGCTGATACAGCTCTATAATATATTTGGGTTCAGTAATTCATTATTCTCCATCACCCACTGTTGTACAGAAGATGGGTAGTCGGGCTTTGTTCTTCAGCAGTGGTAAGACCTAAGCCACTTACGTCTGTCATATATGCCTTGTGGCATTAGTGGCATATCACTTTGATACTCATTTTTCCCCGACAATTGGCATCCTTATGTTTGCAGAGTTCTGTGTCATGTTTGGAAGTATACATGATATTCTACGTGTCTCAGTTATGCATCAGATAAAGTGAATCTAAGCCAACCTTCTTTTTTCCTTGTAAACTTCTTGCCAATTCTTGCCTTTTGGAGTATTCACCATGGAAACTTTGCATGCCCATCTATTGGGTTTTCTATATTGGCTTATTATATATTTATATTCTTTTTTAGAGGAATGATATATATTCTGTCAGCTCAATAACACTTCATGTTTTATTGTGGTTATTTTGTGCCTGTAGAGGCCTTACTACATCTCTTGAGTTTGTCATGCATGACAACTTGTTGTGTTCATCTTGTAAATGTTTGTCCATTTTTCTACTTTGCAAGTTATCGAAGTAGATGTCATGCATATTTTGTAGCCGCAAGTCCTGCCCATTCAAGTATATCCTTCTAGTTACAGCAGATTAGTTTGGTGTATTTCAGTTCCCTTGTTTATGTTTAAATCTTTTTTCTCTATCTGATAGTCTTGTGATCTTTTGTGATCAGTCTCCTGGATCAAGTTTACAAACTGAGCCTAGTAGAGCGCCTCAATGTGTTGTGGACAATGGCTATGACTGCCCGGGAGATATGTATTATCAGAACCCACAATATCATCTTGATGGTGGTACAGGTCAGGCACCTTATCAGGGTGGTTGTTATGACTATTATGCCTCTTACAACATATACTCAGCTAGAGGTCCTCCCAGTGGCGTTCAAGCTCCAATGTACGACTCAGCTAGAGGTCCTAGTGGTGCTCAAGCTCCAATACACTACCGCAACTGGAGTCCTCAAGTACCTGTTGGTTATACTAGCAGTTACCAACACTCTGCCCCGGGCCAACTTACATATGCGCAAGGGTATGATAATGGGCAGTGCCACGGGCAGCAGTCGATGAATTTTCAGCCAGTGTACCAGTCTTACCCTCCACAGCAAGATCCCTATGGAAAGTCTGCTTTTGGTGGAGCTCAGCTGCAAGGCTACGACATTCCTATGCCAGGCACAAACTACCATGGACCAACTCCAGCCCAGCAGCCATATGCATTACAGAGCTCAACCGTGCCACCTCAACCAGGACTTGGTTATGGTCAGTCCTATGGTGCAACTGCTGGTGCTATTCATGGGTACGTTCAATCTTCAAGTGGTTGTCAGCAGCCAGCGAGCCAGGCCACTTCGGCCTACCCCCAGCAAGTAATGCAGCCCGACGTATATGGGCAGTATCCATCGACTCAGCCGGGTTACACTGATCAGGCGATTGCTAACAATGCAAACTATCATCAGCAGCCAGCGAGTCATGTCGCTTTGGCCTACCCACAGCAAGGAATGCTGCCCGGTGTCTATTGGCAGTATCCATCGACTCAGCCTGTGTATACCAATCACGCAGTTGCTAACAATGAAAACTATCAGCAGCTAGCATGCCATGCTGCTGCGGCCTACCCACAGCAAGGGTCGCAGCCCGGAGTTTATGGGCAGCATCCGTTGTACACTGGCCAGGCGGGCACTAACAATCCAGGGAATGCAGCAGGGTCCGTCGACCCAGCCGGGGTACACTGATCAAGACGGGTGCAACGGGGGCTCAGCTGAAGCTACTGCAAATGTCAGCTAGCCTGCGGCAGGACATGATTCAGTTCCAGAAGGCGATGCTGTTTACCAGGCACAGGGAGGAAATGCACAGCCTCATGAAACTGGCGATGAGCAGCCTGATGCATCTTCCACCTCGCAGGCCAGTTGAGTTAGCTAGATAAGACTCTGATTAGCTCAATAGGGTTTTTGGCACAGGAGGAAATGTTTTTCCGACGGAGAAACAAGTTGGGTCATCTGAATTTTGGTCGTGGTGTATTGACTGGATGATCTGTTTAGCGTCAGTCTTGTAACGTTTTTGCAGTTTGGATCACTCCCATCTCCCAATGATTTAGTTCATGGATGGGTGCGCTTGTGATTGATTGACGCTAGGTCCTGTGGTTTATTTTTCAAGAACACCTCGAGAGGGGTTCCTGCACTTCATTAAGAAGAAGAGAGTCGGTCCGGTTTATAAGGGAGACCGGACCCGAAAACCTAACATTCTCTACTAATCAGGGGAAACCGAATAAAAACCCCAAAAGAAAGAAAAAAGTAAACGGAAAAAAGAGGCACTGGAAACTTGGGATAGGGACAGGACAAATGGTCGTGTGGTTTATGCTTCCTCGATGGTAAGCAGCTCTGCAGATTAGACAACAAAAGCATTTCATCCATAGAACAGTTTTTGTTCAAACCAACCATGCAAGAGGACTGCATGTTATACATACAGCATTAGATAATGAAAAGCATTTCAAGATCCAATTTATACATCCAAACCGACGCTCAAGAAAGGACACGTCCGCGCGGACCATTCAATCACCGAAGAACGGCGCCGCCTTGCTTGCTCAACTCGACGTTCAGCACTGGGCTGTCCTCACCGCGAGATGCCGGCATGGATCATCATCAAAGCAGTGGCAACTGGACGGTCCCGGAGCGCGCGAGTAGGCAGGCGACGTTGAGGGCATTGTCGACGCAGAAGTTGTGCCACCCGTAGCGTTGCCCCGCCGGTTCACGGGCCACTGCTCCCCGCACATCTGCAACAATAACAACCTTGAGCACCGCAGGATGTGCTGTAGTTGGTCACCTGTCGACAGCTAAATAATGGGTCGGATAGCCAGACGCCCAGACCAAATCAGGGACCGTGAGCAGCAAACAAAAACCGATGTAAACAAATCTACATCTACAATACTACACCTTTAACCCCAGAAAACTGTCTTACACCGTGCAGATCAGAACATGCGCCATTCAACCGCTAGCACTACCCGCATTACAGACTGACAGTCTATGTTGCCTGAAACAACGAACAGATCTCTAAGCTCAGTCGGAGGAAACACTCATAACCCATCTCCGACGATCTGGAGGGCTACAAAAATTTCATGGAAATATTTCCCGCTGCAGAGTTTAGACGACATGAAGGGGAATCACAGACTGCAGGGTGGACGGATGAAACATGACGGAAGTCATGGCGATATAACAGAATGAAATTGGAACTAGGTTGCGCGAGTCGTACTGTTTGGGACGAGAAAATCCGTCTTCTCAGACAGCACATCCATGTCGTCCACGTTAACCGGGTTGTCATCCTCACCGCTGAGTGCTCTGCTCATCAGCTCCTCCCAGAAATCATCATGCAACGCCCCCTGGGCTCTGTTCTGCTGCACTTCACAGGTACCGAGACCAAAATCCTGTGGCTTTACACCGTTAGTGTCGACGCCTGAGTCGTTGAGATCAGATGGAATCACATCAACAAGGAGTTCCGCCGCACCTTCCAGGTCAGGTGGGATCCCATCAGCAAGGAGTGCTGCCGAACTTTCCAGCTCAGATGGGACGCCGTCAGCAAGGAGTTCCACCGACCCCTCTCCAAGAAGTTCCACTGACTCATGGGGATCAGACAGAACAGGTGACTCTTGCTCCAGGCTGCCACTAGCACCCATGTCATCAGCTTCAGGACCCTGACCGATGCTACGCCTCCTTTTCTTTGACATAGCGTCATGGAGCTCCTTCCTCACCCCATTCAGGGAAATCAGTTGCTTCAATAATTCAGGTTTCTGGAAGACACGTGCCAGGAATGCTGTCATTTGCTGCTGCTTCCGCTCGGTTCCATGTAGCCTCTCCTCCATGCCTTTCAGGTGCGTTTTCATGCTCTGCTGTTCCTGCCTTAGCTTCACCACTTCTGCCATCAATAGTTGCTTGTCCCTTTTCAGCTGGTCGGTATCTGTATGATTTCCAAAGTGTCCCACCTCAAGGTATGATCCAAGAGATTGCTGATTTGAAGCAGTATTAGCGGGAGGTCTTCGACGTCTGATGTTCTTCAGAAGGTGCCTCTGTCCCCGTAGAAAACCCTCATTGGCAAACTCCCATCGATCAGGATCCACCTTTCTGAAACCCTGACAAGCGAACAAACAGCATACCAGGGTAAGGTTACTTCCAGGAGACTTCTAATGCAAGTGTGTAGCAACATGTTAATTCTTTCTCAACATCGAAAAAACAACATGCTATATTTACATTTTACTTCTTTTTGGACCATAAGCCATGACAGTACCAAGAGATGGAACTGCAACAGGATATCTTCTGGTTACCTCTTTAGAACATGTTTAAATGCACCGTTCAGTTGTTTCTTCACTACATTTGTTCAAAACTCTTCTTTCATCTTCATCCTTTTTTTTGAAGGAAAAAAATAAAAAAAAATGTACTCCCTCCGTTTTTATTTACTCTGCACATTAGATTTGACTGAAGTCAAACTTCGTAAAGTTTGACCAAATTTATAGAAAACAATATAAACATTCACCATAACAAATCTATATGATGTGAAAATACATTCAATAATGGATCAAATGGTATTGATTTGTTATTGTACATGTTAATATTTTTGTTTATAATCTTTGTCAAAGTTTACAAAGCTTGACTTTGACCAAAGCTAATACGCGGACTAAATAAAAACGGAGGGAGTAGTAAAAAAGAAAAGAACTATCGACTCTTATAGAAGAATAAAAGATGTTGATCGATAAAATGTTGAACTCAATTTAGAATACAACCTTTATTCGGTCAAAAGGTCCCAAAAATGAGAGGGGGAATGCACATTAACCACTAAACAGGGAGAGCGGGTAACAACAGTGCAACAGCATCAGTTTACCTAATGTCAAGTGAATTTACTCATAAATATAACACTAGCAGGGTAAAGAAAAATGAATGTGAACACACGGCTTTAACATTTTGCTGACCCAGTGTTGATTTCCTTTTTATGGTAACAGGAGAAAAAAGGAACTTAGGATAGTAATTCACGACAAATTGTTAAAATACAGCTTTTACTTATATCTCACCAAAGTTCCATTCAACTAAAGTGTGTCAATATGCTTCTTTATTAACTTCAGTTTTTCTGCTTGTGATTCCCTATGCTTTTCTACAGAATAAACTGTAATAGGACATTATATCATTCCTATTCACCTCGGGGAATTAGCTCTGCTTGTTTTAGTGTACTACCAAGTACCAACATGTTCTTACGTAGTAAACAATCACCCTAATCATAAAGAAAGAGAGCTGATATCGGCACTATTCACCAGACTAGTTAATACTCCCTCCATATCACAAATAAGTGACACTAGACACTGACACGCTCTTCAATGCAACTTTAACCACTGATTTATAATACAATATATGTGCAAGCCTTACAAAATATAATATTCCAGAAATACCTCCCGAGACAACTATATAACATATCAATTTCAAATTTGCAAATGGAATAATTAAAATCTATTCATAGTTACAATTTTAAAAGTTTGGCAGAATATGTGTCTAAAATGTCACTTATTTATGATCTGGAGGGAGTAACATACAACAACCTTCAACATCCAACTTTTTAATGTACTTCGCCAAGTTGGCAAAAAAGGGGAAGGAGACTGCAAACATAACCACTGCATTGTGAAAGTAGGTAATAGCACAGTGCAACATCCATATGAATTATGAAGATAAACATTTCACAGTGCATATGACCTAAGATGGCACCATGCACATGCTCACAAAGAAGTCCAAAGAATGTGGTACTCCACGAATATATTCCAACTGCTATTAATTCAGCAAGAGGAGGTTCTAATACAAAGGCATGAAGTAAACAACTGTACAACACATGCAAGACAATGTTGCAGTTCATTATCTTATGAAAAAAATATGACACTAGCAGGGTAAGGATAAATGCATGTGAAACAGGCAGAATGACCTTTTTCCTCTACAAGTTCTTTCCTCTTGATGATGACATAAAATATATAGTACGTTGGAGCAGTAGTCCGCAAGAACAGGTAAAGTCCAAGGTTTTACCCAGCACATCCAGCTCAACAGGCAAAACTTTTGTGAATGTGTTGCATTCTTATTAACTGAAGTTTACTAGCGAGGGGTTCCTGTGCACTTTTCTACATAAATACTCCATCTGTCTCAAAATGTAAGACATTTAGTATTATGTAACTGGGTACATAAAGTCCTATGCACTTCTAGGAATTCTTTTTTTGTTTTGAAGCCGTTATGCACTTCTAGGATTCAGGTCTGCTTGTTTAGTTTAATGCCACCAATTTTCTGAAGTGCAAGATGTCCTGCTCATAATAAACAAGAGATGGTATCCCCACTGTTGAACCAGAATAGTCAATAGTATTCTGCAGTTGTAACTGACTCTTTTTCTGTACTTCTCTTCACCAAATTTGGCAACACAATCTCAATGGCTAAATCACATCAATTTCACAGGTAACAATCACAGCATTGCATTTGGGAGCATCAAGAACATGCAAAGACGGCAACCTTCACTCGCATCGAGGCATAACAAATCAGTTGCATTGCAAATTTGCAAGAGGGGTCAAGGGAATCGAGGCTTCGTAGCTTACATAGGTGTTGAGCTGCTTGACAAAGCTGGAGAAGTTGCTGTGCTTGAAGTGCCTCGGCAGCAGCACTGTGGAGAAGTGGTGCAGATCCCACACGACGAGGCTGTTATTGCCAGCGCTCCACGACACGACGTCGTCGGTGCTCCGGTCATCGACCATGTCGTACGTCTTTGTCAGGAACAGCGACGGCCTGGCATCGCGCAGCCCCTTCACCGGCCTCGATGCCGCCGTGGCCCCCGGCGATTCGCCTGTCCCATGGCCATCCTCCTCCTCCTTGACCAGAGTCGGCATTGGGTCCATACACCCAAACCCCAAGAACCCTCCCAACCAAGGGAACACACCAAAACCCTCCTCCCCGTACCTCCGTCGCCGGCCCTAATGGAGAAGATTGCGGTGGAGCGCCTGCCGTGACGGGATCGATCTCTCCTCTCGGCGGCTGGAGCGGCGGCGAGGGAGCGACTAGCGGTGGGGAGCGGGGAGGAGAGAGACGGCCATTTGGGGAATGGAAGGTTCTGGAAGGCGTGGAGGGATTGGAGGAGGATGAACGGCAGGGCGGGCCCGTGTCGGGAACTGGGCCTCGTATGGGCCGGCGCGACAAGTGCCAGTGTGTGGCTGCTGCCTGTGCACCTTGTGAAGATTGAGAGGGTTTTAAAAAAAAAAACTAAATTCCTAAAAGTGCAGCTGCACTTTTTGGAGCTGCTCGGCCCGCACCCTTCTGCGTCGTCCGATGGCGATCGCATCGTCCAGGTGTCGTGTGGTCGGGCTCAAGATAGCTCGCGACGCGCTTCAGGTGCCGCGCGGTCGGGGTGGGGTACCGTTGGTGAGCGCACCAATTTCAGACGAAGTGGCAGACTGAGGGCCGCCACTTCTCTTCTCCGTCGCTCCACCCCATCGCTCCCATTTTGAAACTGCAGTTCGTTCTCTCCCATTTCCTCTGGCAGTTCCTTCTCCGCCATCTCAAATCTCCACAGTTCGTGCTAGTCCCCCAAATCCGGCAAGGAGTCGTCGTGTCCGTCGAATCTGCGGTCGATTCCACTGGGTGTACAGCAATTCCGCTCGTCAAGCTGGGGATATTTTGAGAGGAGTAGTAGTGGAGGAGTCAGGGGCGTGCAGCGACCAGCAGGTTGCGGCAGGAGATAGGCCAGGGTACCGCTTCTCTGTGCGCCACATCCACGGAGAGAAGCACTTACCGAGGCTCGGGGGCGCGGGGGGAAGGGGGTAGGCTGGTCTGTAGTTCGTGCATCATGAGATTGTGAATCACGGGCGTCAGAGGTCGAGCAATATCCGGTAAGCACATTGATTTTCGCATGCTTTCGCAACGCATTCGTGGCTAATTCGTTGACTACAGTGTGGTGGGGTGAATTTTTTGGGCAGAAATCACATGTTTGACCTGATGCTCAAATCAAATCACAAACTGACTTGGTCACGAAAAAATTTCACTCTGCTGACCCTTACGAGTGGCGCCCGACAGCTAGGCGCCGCACCCTACTGTGCCGCGCCCTTCCCTTAGGCGTCGCACCTCCTGCCAGCGTGGCAGCCCAGGGCCAGGCGCGGCCCCACACGCAACTGTGCAGCGCCTAAGGCTAGGGCGCCACACTGTAACGTGCAGCGCCTAAGGAGTGACTTAAGCGCGGCCGCCCCAGCCCGACCTGGCAGTTCTTCCCCTCTCCGCTCTCTGGACAGAGAGCAGCGGCGGCGCCCCCATCTAATCCCGCCCACATCCCTCTCAGATTTGAAGATTTGATCCGTGGATTCGATCTCCAATCCATCCTACTAGGTAAACTCTTCCGTTCTCTTTCTTTTGCTCCTTAAATTTGTTGCCATTTTAGAGATTTGTCCAAGATTTGATGGAACCCTTGATTTGTTTGATTTGCTCGATTTAGGATGTGTAGTCATATTGGTAGTACCGTAGTGTTATTTATTAGTTCACAATATATGATTCTTGTTAGTGAAACCCTAGATTGTTTAGTTTTTTTAGATATATATGAGATGCCTATTTTTATAGATAACTATGAGATGTTGATTTTTGTAGACATATATGAGATGTTTGTTTAGATATATATTAGATGTTGAGTTTATTTTAAATATTAGATGTTGAGTTTATTTGAAATATTAGATGTTTAGTTTATTTGAACACATATGACATATTCATTGTGTGAGAAGGAGATGTTGAGATTCTTGTAGTTGAACACATGTTATATGTTTAGTGTATACCGATATTTGAGATGAAGATGAACTCTTATATGTTTATTGTTTGAAATTATAAGGATGGTTTGGCTTCTGGACGATGTCTACGACATGCAACACCGGGCCTACATGATGCGCGAGAAGGAGAAGGTAATAATGAGTAATCTAAATATTTTGCAAATTTGCCTTTAGTTGAAATTTACATGCCCTAAGATTTGTCATTACTTGTTTTTTGCAGAAGCTTGAACCTCTGAAGATTCGGTATCACAGGGTCTCTGGTCCTGCCATGCCTTACGATGAGCGGTACACACCATACATCAAGCAGGCAGGACTACTCCCGTGGATTCTGTTGGTCAGCCGGTCCACGCCGAATCTGAACGCTTCACTGGTGTCCGCTCTTGTTGATCGGTGGAGGCCGGAGACGCACAGTTTCCATCTTCGGGCTGGGGAGATGACCGTGACGCTCGAGGATGTCTCGTTGATCACCGGTCTTGCTATCGACAGGAGGCCTCTCTGTATGAGCACCGATTCTGATGGGTGGCGCGAGCAGATGATTGCTCTTATCGGTATGGCTCCTACCGAGGCTGAGGCTAATGTAGAGGAGGGAGAAGAGAAGAAGAAGAGGGAAAGGAAAGCAGCCGGAGCTGCTTTCACGTGGATTCAAAATAACTTTGCGACGTGCCCTCCGGATGCCACCGATGATGTGATCCAGACACATGCTCGTGTGTATATGTGGTACGTTGTGTCGAGGACTTTGTTTCCTGACTCCACTGGCAAGAACGCTCCATGGATGTGGCTGAAGGCGTTGACCGTCTTCGATAGCAAATGGAGCTGGGGTTCAGCAACTCTTGCCTACTTGTACCGACAGGTAGTTGGTCTGTTTTGTGACCAACTCATTTCTTCATTAGCAATGCAAGCTTGCTGTCAAGTTAACATTGTTTTTCTTTCATATGTAGCTGGACAATGCGTGTTGTAGGATCACAGATAGTGCAGGCATTGGTGGTAATCTGCTTCTACTTTCTGTATGGAGCTGGGAGCGTCTGCCTGTTGGACGCCCGAAGAGCATCAGGTTTGATCCTTGGTATGCAGATGAACATGACGAATTACGGCGCCCCACATGGGCTTACAAGTGGGATATCGTTTCCGAGATGACGAACGATGTCAATCTCATGTACCAAAAGTACATTGCCGAGTTGGACACGATTACGCCTGAGCAGGTAAGGAGGTCATTACTTCAGTCCTTTCTCATGCTTGCTTGAAAAATAGTCATCAAATTTGCATTGTTGCCCTGTTTCATAGGTGGTATGGCAGCCATATGGCGCGGGTAAGAGCTTGGGGTACACCCCGGAGTTCCGCCTCAACCCGATGTGCTTGCGGGATAAGGATCTCTGGCTTATGCGGTGCCCACTAATATGCAACTGGGCAGTTGAGTTTCATTTGCCGCATCGCGTGTATCGTCAGTTTGGTCTGTTCCAGCCTCACCCCCCGGATTGGGTGGACACGGACAAAGCACTTCATAGGTAAGAGAGCATGTCTGCGTATTGTCTAAGCATCGAGACTCCTTTTGATTGTGCTAATGTTTGGTTTTATACCACGCAGGTTGGACAGGAGAAGGCAGCGGAAGATAAAGGACTGGGATAAGCATCATTCTGCGTATGTTACCCGCTTCCAGCTTTGTGTGGAGCAAGCTCGTAGGACTGCACACGCCCCGCTTCGTGAGCACAACCCACTTGCTTTTGATAACTACGCACGATGGTTTATCGGAACTACTCGAGTTGAGATATGCCCGCCGGCATATAATGAGGATATTCTTGAAGAACCCGTAAACTTTGAGGATCTAGCAAAGGGGAAGTACAACAGAGATGTCAGGCAAGGGCAAGGAGTCCCTGCTGTTCCGGTGATTAACCATGTGGTAAAGTGTTCCCTTCTTTACTTTCCCGTTGACCGTATTACACATGTTTGAATGGCTAACGCATTCATTCTTTCTCATCCACAGCGCACCGAGATCAAGAAAGCAGCTGATGAGAGCCAGTCTATTCTGGAGAAGACACCGGTTGGAAACGGCAATGATGATGGTTCACTACGAGCATTCCTCAAGGTAGTCACATTCACTATGAGAGCCAGTCTATGTTGCGAAGTTTGATATCTTACACACTTGTTCATGTTACAGCGTCAGGCCAAGAAGTTAAGGCGGTTATCGAATCTTCTCGGTTGACGTGATCCTGAATACGATGAACCATCTGCCTCTAGGTCTGGTACACCATCAGACCCCTCATCTCACCATCAGGGGGACGATGTGAGTTCCTCATATGCTTATATGGATGATGAGGGTGCGATCACCCAAGAGGTATGACTAATCCTTTAGATGTGATCCTCACTTGATTACGACACCAGCCTTCACCATATTGTTTGATTGTGTGATAGGGCCATGAGCTTGATGATGACATGACTTTGGCGGACGCTCAAGCTCGGTCCGCATATGTGTTCAAGCCTAGGCAGCCCAGACGCCGGTACACGCCCAACGACTATGACAACAGAGGCAACCCAAAGGTGGTCGTAGGGACCTCGCGGATGGCTAGCTTGGATGATGAGGCGAAGGTGGAGGCGGAAGTGCACGAAGAGGAGGCTCGTCCTTCCAGGATGAAGAAGATTTCCTGCAGGCGTGGCACCAGGAACACGCGCGGAAGGCATTAGTGCTTGTTCATGTTACTTGTAGCCGTTTCATTAGGTTGATGAACTTGTGAGCTTATGTTATATGTTGGTGAACTCGTACTAGTGTGGTATTTGTGTTTGCGAACTTGAAGTAATGTTGAATTGTCTTAAATAATATGATGTTCAAGTTATTAGTTCTCTTTGTTTAGTATGTGCAGTTTATAGTACTTTTAGTGATGTTCAAGTTATGTGAGTGCTGCTGTAGGAGGCCAAAATGGCATCTATTTCTGCAGTTTAGCTTATAGCAGCACTGCAGCACCCAACAGTTAGGCGCCGCACTGTACTGTGTGGCGTCCAACAGTTAGGCGCTGCACTGTACTATGTGGCACCCAACTGTCAGGCGCTGCACAGTGCAACGCCCTGCCCTTAGGCGCTGCTTAACTGCCATGGCTATCCAGAGA